CCGCACTGCAATACAGCGGCTGGGAAGGAGGGTGGAACAGCCAGGCTTTGTTATCCCAGGGATTTGGTCACACACAAGAGCTGGTTTCTCGGTGCCTGGGAAGCTCCTTCCACAATGAATTGGGATGAGCTGATCCGGTAACACGGCTCCGTGGCCTCCCAGGAGAGCGCTGGAACCGCTCCTGCGAGGGCGCGCGTTTGTTTCCCCGTTCCCTCTGAAGGACTCGTTCCTTGCGCAGAAGCGACGCGTGGCCTCGCTGGGACGGCGACCCGAAGCTGTGCACGCAGCCGCTGCGCTGAGCCCTGCACCAGGGCTGCAAACGTGGCAGGGACCGCTCGATCGTGGTGGCCGCAGCCCTGCAGCATCACGCCAGGCTCCCGGCACTGCAAACGCAGCTGCTCACACCGATTGCTGGAAAGAGCTGCCGGGATCCAGGGCTGAACTAATCCAGCCTGAGGTCCCACCCTGGGTAACCCACTGAGTCCTCTTTCCTTGCCAGCAAATATACAGTTACCTGCCTAAGAGAGATGCACAAGCAGGGGAATAACCCCAAAGTTCTTTGAGACCTGCAAGTACCATACACTGGGGTTAAAAAGATTTGACTGCACAGAATTCCACAGGGCCATGGGGGGTTTTTTATCATTCTTCTAATAAGTCTCTGCATTACCAAATATATTTTTATTCCTTCTCTGGAGCAAGTTTTAAAGTGTTAGGAATAATAAACAGAGCAATAAAAGCATTCCAGAATATTAAAAACTACAACGTACTATCTAGCAATAACACCGGGCATTTACAGACAATCGATGCCAACTGCCACTCTTGATTTTACACGTTGTTTTGGCATAGCACCCCAGTCAACTCTGAACGCATGCCATGCTGTATTTTTCAAGCCACTCTGCCTGTAACACAGGTCTATCTCTTGAGATCCCCAGGCTCTTTTCCGAGAAGATGAATGCTCCCAACTCCCCAGCAGTCCTCCATGCTGTGCAGAACAAGGCCCCTGGAAAGCAAAGCTCTCAAGGAGCAGACCACGCTCTTCTCTATGGGGATTTAACATAAGCAGAACTTGGCAGATTATTTTAATTTTCCCTCTAAAAAAAAAAATCTGATTAGCAATAGGCTTTTTCCCTGGGGTTTTGGTAAAGGGAAACCACAAACAATTACCAAAACACACTGATTAAAAATTTATCCTTCCAGACTTCTAAGTGCCAAAACATATAGTGAATTCTTGATTACCCCAGAAGGTCTGAGCGATCACTGCTGAAACTGGTCGCTGCTGCTCCAAAAACACAAGTCCCATCACTGAAACCACAGGAGAATTTGGAATTCGAAGGCCTGGACCTGCAGCTGAGCAGCCTGCAGCACAACTGCCAGAGACTTCACAAACAGCCCCAACCTCCGGATACAACATCCAGTAGAGAGCACAGCAGAGGGGTTTTGTAAACACTCTTCATCAGCATGACGCTGCTGAGCTAAACCTGAAATGACTACAAGGGTTAAACAATGCCAGTGACTTCCTACCCTTCCAACAGCGTCCATGCAATTCGCATGGCCATAGACAAATCCACCACTGTGAGTCCCAGCGAGATGGAGGAAGGAGCTCCGGCATCACTTGCAGAGCAGTCATACAATGATCTATTTGATTACTGAAGCACTTGGTTAAATTACTGTGGCTTGTTTCAGGAAGAGGCTGCCAAATACATTTTCAGTTTTTAATTTAGGGTTTCTCTCTTTTATGGTCCATTGTCTCTAATAGCCTCTTAGATGCTTGAAAATAAAGTTGATTTCCCTGCCAATTTAATCCTCTCTCCATGTGACAAATATCGTTATTCCCCCAGCTGCTTCCCCCCACACACACTGTTTTTATGCAGAATAAGCCAACAGGGCATTAATGCCTTTAGATCCTCTAACAGCGTTATCAATGAGATCATCAAAATAACCAGTAATTTGGGACAAGATTCTTCTTTAACTTGAGGTCTTCTTTCCGCAACAGCTCTAAAAGATTACACAGTCCTGCACAAAGTGTGGCTTATGTAAATCTGCCTGCCTATACAGACATATCACACCTTTTTAAGTTCCTACTTGGCAGCAACCTCAACATGCAGGCTAAGACAGCTCCGCTTTGGAAATAAAGAACTGCTATTTTACTGACATTAGGATACAAAAAGCCCCTCGGATAATAAAAATAAAAATAGGTCCTGCCACACGGCTGTACCCTCGTGGCTTGCTCTTGGCCCATTTGCAGCTTCCTTCCTCCTGCCTCTCCTAATCCCTCCCATCCCTCCCCGTCCAGGCGTCAGAAAAGGACAGAGAATCAAATCTTCTTGAAAAAGTCAACTGGATCCGGAACCCACCTACTTTGCACCTAGTGCCTGTTACCAGGAAAAAGGAAATGACCACATAATAATTTGTTCAAACAATATTATTATCATTCAAAGAACACTGCCCCTGTCAACTATGGAGCACAGCTTGTTTTATGCACATAAATATTTGCCCGTATTTCTTCATATAATTTTCCACCTCCCCTCACCTCTAGGATATATATAAAAATGCCTAAACAATTAAAATATAGCTGGACCCAATGTCCCAGAGAGAGGCAGCTGCTCCGCAAAAAGGAGGACAAAGACAAAAATAACCTAGAAAAAAAGGAAGAGTGGGTAAGAGAGGCCAAAATGGCCAAAAATAAGTTTGACGGCTAATGAAATCAGTTAAAATGGGGTTAGAAGTGTAGGTCTTCAAGCAGTGTTCATGCCACAGATCTTTCCTCAGAGTATTAAGTGATGGACATAGGGGGTAAGGTAAGCAACAGGATGCACCGAGTAGAACTGAGCTGTTTATTTCTCTAATCATTGTAATTCTGGCTGCACGAGGGCAGCAGGGAACATACTACATGTATCTTTATTTACCCAGAGATAGGCGAATTAAACTTTCATAATGTGAATGAGGAAAATACAAGGCATTAGGAATAATATAAAATTACAAGAATTTACCAAATTTCTTATTCACGTTTCTGATCCGTTTCTACTGATTCCTCACTTCTACAATATAATTCTCATCCAGAAATATTTATGAGGGGTGTCTCCAGCGATCCCTTACTGTCCGACATTAACCGCACATCTGCCTACCCCATCCCTGTGCTGGGTGTAAATGTCACTACAGCAGAAGCCTCACAATTCAGTGTCTGCTCCTCAGCCGCTGCAATCCACAACCTGCCCAAAAACTGAAACCTCCCTGTCACTCAATGCACATGAAAACAGCAGGCTGTAAACCAGGGGAGCTGGCAAGTGGGCACACTGTCCATTCTGCCACCCTTGTTACAGGGATAGCAGCATCTGAAAAACAAGGCAGCGTGAAAAGCTGGGAGCAATAATGTGTTAGATGAATCTGGAATGAATCACTGGAGATCATGAGTTTGAACCCTGAGACTGAGCCAGATCTTCAGGGAAAGATTTATCCTTTAGGATAAATCCAGCTCCTAGTGCGGTCTATAGAAGTCTTCCAACAACTTCAAGTGGGAATGGATTAGGCCACATACAACTGCACCGCTGACAACCATTGGGCTAGAAGAATCATTCTTTGATATTAATCCCACCCTTCCCCTGGCAGGAATAAACATCCCATGTAATAACCCCTTCTTCTTGAGCATCTGATCATGGTTTGAACACCACCAATGTGGTGGATATCAGTGGGTATTTTAAATTTACAGAACACTGAAGAAAATTATGCTCTAGCCCCCAAGTTTATACACCAAGTAAATGAGTGTTTTGGCATTTCTTTACTATCTTCCATTTAAGGATCTTAAGTGCTAAAGCACAGTGCTGGAATTTAATGCTGAACTCTCTTGTGATACATTAAAGTATCACTACTACTTCGCTAGCAACAGGGGAAAGTTAAGCAACACGACTAAACTCACAAAGCAAATCAGCATCAGGTCATGTTTCTGGATCCCTAGTCCCTGTCCTTAACCACAAGATAACACACTATTCCAGTGATCTTATTATATTTGAATTACACGTACTTATGTCCAAGCATCAAAAGCGCTTCTACCAATCTCTAATTACTTCCAGGCACGGCAAGAAGATTTCAGGCCTGAACGTTCACAGCACATAGATTATGGTATTAGCCATTCACAAGATATTAGCTGTTAACATTCCCTGATGCTTTGTATTATATGTATTATATGTATATATGTATTATTTGTTTATAATCGCACTCTCAAATAGCATAAAGCATTGCTATCTAGCTGGAAGAATTCAAAACATACCTGTGGCAAAATTACGTTGCAACTGAAGTATGCGCACACATAAGGAGAAACAAGAGAGTTAGTACAGCACTTCTCAGTGTTGATATCCCAAATCACAAACCAGAGATTATGACTGTTTATCACTGGGACACTCCAGTCTTTATCTTAACAGCATCCTATTTTTTATCGTAGGGAAGGCTACAGGCAGGATGTCCAGCATCACATTCAAGCACCAGCTTTGCCGTTTTCAACTGCATAGTTAATATAAAACGATTACATATACTTGAAAGTCAAATGAGTAGATAAAATACATTAATGTTACACTGCTGTACACACACCCACATATCTATACCCTACATATATACGCACATAAATATATGCCTCTTGGAAACCTTGGAACAGGCAAGGAAGAACAAGGAAGAGAGGAGGTTATGGGTGGTTTCAAGTACAAGCAAGACAAACGTAGGCTTGATGGAAACATTCAGAGGCTGTTGTCTATCCAGGAGGAGGGAGGCAAAAGTCTTAAGGAAGGACTCGATTCACAAGTGCTTACAGGACAGGAAAGATGTTCAGATTATTTCTGCTTGGTATTTACTTTGAGGACTAACCATTGCCAAGCTATCTGATCCACGGCATGTCTGAAAGTGCTTTTAAAAGACATTGATTCTTGTTGCCAACTAATGAAACTGCTGTACAAACCAGCTTTGTTTGATTTGTTGTCATTCTTTCAAGTTATCCAACAAGTTCTGATACTCACAAGGCTCTGGTTGACAGGGCAAAGTCACCTGATGCTTTTTGACACCATCGAACAAGAGTTCTGCACCACCTCTGAAATAAAAACAATGAACCACTGAGATTTTGCTTTACTGTCAAAAGGAAGAGAGTACAAAAGAGGCGATTTACATAGATGCCACAAGAGAGAAAACAAATGACACAGACTATATTTAGCACAGGATTCTCTTTGTCTTTTTTTCCCTCTCGCAAACCACCAGTTCACAGGGGAAGTTGCCATCTCCCATCGCCAACACATACAGGAGGCTCCGCTGCGGGCCAGAACCCCACAGTGCCAGGCATCGTCCCAACAGAACAGGAAGACGGCTCCCGTCCCAACGCGCTTACAAACCGCCGTGCAGCGTCTAGCCTAACGCCTTCCCTCTCCCTTCAGCTATCGGCATTGCTTCAATTCAAACGATATTCCAGCCACCACGCTACATCCAACATCGCTCATCCCTAACACCTTTTAGCCAGAAGTCTTAAGGCATTTCACAAAACGTGAAAAATCGTAGCGTCCTTCTGGAATAAACATTCCCCCAGTTTCCACTTGTGAACAGAGAGAGGAAATGACTCACACGAGGTTACACAGCAAGTCAGCTGCAGAGCCAGCAGTCCTTGAGTCCTGGCAACCCTTTCTTGATCTACTTGCTACAAAGCGTTCCCTCTTGGGAGGGACTTGACTGGGAGAAGCAAGCAGAGCAAGTGACGATGATGACAAGTTAAAGTAAAAACAAATAAATAAATGCACAATCTTCCTCCACTGAACAACCTCATTAACATCCCCCTCCTGATATTCAGAACGCACTGGGGGACTGGCCTCAGATAACTAAGCGATGGCCTCTGCAAGCACAAGAGATCAAGCGTGAGCAAAATATGCAGAAGCTGGCAAGTACAGGAGCTGGTCCTCACACCTGAGAAAAATGGGATTCAAATTGGGTCCAGGCACCTAATCTCCTTAGGCTCTTAGAAAAAATAATTAATTTTTGTAACTGCAACTTACAAGCCTCAGCAAGCTCCTCACCTATATTCCTTTTCTGGAAAAAGAACAATTGTGAAAATCTTGAGCTTTACAAACATAAATCAGTTTTCCTGATGTGAAGCCACGGGCCAAACTCAGTCTTAGAAGATTATAAAACTTTGTCACATAAGTAGGGACGTGGATAATAAACACAAATGCTACTTTAAGATACAGGACACAGAAGCAGATAGAGTGAGCTCTTGACTCTAGACTGAACAGGACGGCCAAAGTTTTAACAATTAGGAAACTCTTTAAAAACTCAACTCACTTGATACTCAACTGAGGTAGAAAAATGACTGAGCCGTTTTCAAAGGGCGTATAGTTGTGGCAAAATGTTCTTCCAACTTAAACGTAGATTACTTTAGAAAAATTTTCTTACGAAGTTACTTTCTGGAAACTTACTGGTGCCTCGCATCCCTTGGAAACCAACACAATAAAGAGAAGCATTTAAAATCAATAATCCCCACCTAAATATCAACAAAGATACATCCAGACGTTACTAAGTTCCTTTAAATTCAATATCTAAAAATGCCACACTAGGTTTTCTTGGCTCTGCTATGGAAGAGCACAACAGAACCCTTGTTATGCCCTCGGCAGCATTACTTATATGCAGCAACTCTCCTAAAGAGCACTCTGTTGGTGTTCTTCCCCCGGCTCACAAAAAATAGTTATCTGAAAATTGAAGCAGCGATTATTAACATGAGCCGAGACTCATGCGAGAGAACAAGTCACAGCAATTATATGAAAAACATTATTTTATGTAATGAAAACAAGGTCACACTTTGTTACAGCGGGAAATGTAGATTGCAAGATAAGGTCCTTCTGTAATGCGCTAGCTGTGGGGAACTCAGCTGTGATTTGTACATAGAGAGCTCATTTATGCATTTCCAAGGGAAGCAAAAATGCATCTCACTCTTCTGGGAAAATTAGGAGAGTTACTGCAGCTGGAAGTGGGAAAGACTGAGGAAAGGATTCTTAAGGAGAAGGGTATTTAAAGGGTTATGGCATTTCTGTGTTCATGAAAGGGTGGGAAAAAGCAAATAAATAGTAGCCTTTTAGCTTCTGCTAAAAGGAGGCTTTAACAAAATAACACAAGTATTTCCACAAATACGCACAGACTTCCACTGCAAACACTTTAACTTCCCAGCGCCAGAGCGTTCGCAATGCAGACACTACCGCAACGAAGACCTGAAAACCGAAATGCTGCAAAGCGAGGACCCGGCTACTTTACACCGAACTGAAATAACTGAAACACAAAGCAAAGCGAGCGCGCATGTACGCACACGTAAAGACACACACACACACGCATATACGTACAGAGAAAAAAAGCCGAAAAACGAGTGGAAGGTTTTTATAAATAATTTTAATAATTTAAAAAAAAAAAAAAAAAG